CGACTTACCGCCGAGTCTAGTTACGCAAAGAATAACATTTACAAGTTTTTAGAGCTTAATAACTTATGAAGCTTCCCTTCTTAATCACCACCCTCTATATATGCTCCACTACTTAATGACCTATAATGATCCTAAATTTTTAAATAAATAATTCTCTTAATTAATATTTTATTTAAATCAATTTTATAGGAAAGGGTGGTGGTTTATTATAACTTATTCTAATATCCTATTTGAAGGACCAAAGTTCAAATTCTCTTAAGTATTAGGTTAATTTTATTTTTTTAATAATGATAAAATTACAAAAGTACTCTTGTCTTTTGTATTATAAAAGGAAAAAAGTTGGGGGTCTTTCTTATAATTTTCGCAATTAGTCTCGATTCAGATTTTTTTCCCTCTTCTTATGCGAAGAACAGAGCACTATAAGCATCATATTTTTTTCCTTCTCTCCACCGACAATGAGCTCCTTTGAGTCCTTCACTATCGACTTGCTCCCTCCAAGTCGTCGGTCTGCTTCTTCCTTTATTGTTGTCATTCCGCAACTGGAAGTGGTGAGGCTTGGTTTATTTTCTCCTCTCCTCCCCTATTTTGGCTGTCGCACAAGTTCAGCGGTGCATGTGGGAATTTGAATTGTCGAAGATGAGAAATCCTTGCCTTTCCTCTGTCCTTCATGTCTCCTCCTCTGTTTGTGCTTCTACTGAGGTCGCCGCCATTTTGGTGGCTGTGGGGTGCATCAGTTTCTTTCTCTCCTCTTTCTCCCTCGATCTAGCTTTGCTCGTTTCTCTTTTGGGTTTCCGTTCATACATATGGCAATATATTATTGACTTGCAAAATTTTCTTTCTTCTCCCTTATTTATGTTGTTTATTGGTGTTGGAAGGAATTTCAGTTTTCTCATTCTTCCTCTGCTACGTTTTAGTGTTGATTGCTTTTGTGTTGTGTGTTGAAATTATGAGTTGATTATTGCTTCTTTTTTTTTTTTAGTTGCTGTGCATGATGTATGGGAGAAATTAATAAGATTGAGCAAGCTAGAATTTAAACATAGAGAGCATGTTTGATAGATAATTTCACTAAAATTGTTACGATTACTTGAGGAAGATGAGAATGGGTTGAATTTTAATCGAGCTTAAATTGATTCTTGAAAGAAAATTTGATTGGAAAAGCAGGATGGATTTAAGTATGAATATTTGGGGACTTGTTGGGAAAGGGGTTGAAGGTTAAAAAGTTTAGTTGAATGAATTGGAAACTAATGCACACGGTTGTTTGTTAAAAGGTCCAATAAAAAATCAAATCTCACTTAAATTATTAATTATGGCTAAGTATCATAGAGAAACTATGATAGAAATTATGATGTTGGGAAAATTTTAAATTATTTAAATTGATATTGGTGGTATTGATGTTGGAAGGGAGTCTATTAAATTTGTAAAAAGCCTTTTAAAACCTTATTATTATATTTCATAAGGTATTTAGAAGAACATAAATTTGAAGGATTATATTTTCAAATTTGGAGAACCCTCAAGTGAGTGAATAACGTCCCAATAGTTCATTATCAAACTTGTTTTATTAAAAATATTGGTTGACCATACTATATGTTACATCCTCTTTTTATAGAAACCTCTTGATTCCTTAAAATTAAATGGTAAATTATTTTTAATTTAGTCTTACTTAATAGTTTATTATTTTAATTTTATTGTCGATGGTTGAATTTGAAGATGTTTTCTACATAAATGAATTTTTAGAAATATTTGAAATTATTTTCTTCAAAGGAATCTCTAAAGGCAATGGCTATGTTGACCTTTATGTGAGAGAAATTATGTTGATTTTATATCCACGCATGTTTGATTTGAAATGTAAGATTTAATCAAAACACTAATTGCTAATAACAACTTCTATTAGTTCTTGACATGCTATGGTACATCCAACTAACAGGGTGCATTGGAAGTGCTAGCCTCGTGTGTTAGCCAACACACATGGAATGGAGGATATAGTTTCGTGGATATAATCCACGCTTGTTATTCATGAGCTTTGTGCTCGCGTCTGTTTTGCGTGGCTTCTTGCCACGCCGGATATGTTATTTACCCTATAGACTATGTGTCCATGCTTGTTAATTGTTTTGATCTAGTCCTGCTAAAGAAAGAGTTTTGATGCTTATTTTCTTTAAGTTCGATTTTAAAAAAAATAAATGATTATTATTTTTATGGTGTATGGATTTTGTATTGAAAAACATAAGTTCCAAGGCGTTTAAGCATATGAGGAAACAAAAGGTGGAACTTGAATTTCTAATAATTTTAATTTAATTCATATCTTCATACTTTACACATTTACATAGTTGTTAGTCCTTGTATTTACGAAGATACGTTTATATTATCACAATTGATTATTTTAATAAGTTTATAATTGACTTGTTGATTTTACTTTCTATTATTTATTTCAATTGTAAATTGAGACGTTATTCACTGAAAATATTTTTGGTCTCAAATAACATAGTTGGTGATATACCTTCTGCTGACCTTTGATGGGGCTCGTTGCTGAATTAAGTAAAGGATCATTTGAGGACATCTTTTTTTTTATGTAAATGTTTAATTATATGTTATATTTTGAAATTTATGATTAGATGCTCCATGTCAATTGTAGATAGGATCATGACCTGTGACATATTTATCTATCTGTTGTGAAGGAGTAGAACTCCGCATTCTTGACTTGGATTGTATATTACCATTGTAAAGATTTCAAGAGATCTTATTTACAAGAAAGGTTTTGTTAAAATTTTTACAAAAAGATTTAAAAATCTTATGTGCATATGAAAAATATTATAATGACTTCATATCCTATTTTAAATGAATTAAAATATTATATTAAAGTTTCTTTGATTAAGGTTTAAGGGATATATGTTTGTGCATATATCCTGTGTCGATCGTATCCAAATTTTGAGGCGTGACATGACCATTTTTTTGATATTACTCTAGTTTGGATTTGGAGTAGTATCAAAAAATGAAGATTTAGAAATCTAGTTAGGAGTATATTTTAATTTAGCATTCAAGTAAAAAAAACAAGTTAAAATATTTTATAGACATATCTCATTTTATAGTCAGTGCTAGAAGATTTAGAAGTCTCTAATTTTAATTGTTTATTAATTGTTTGACAATCTGATAACTACTAAAGCTAAAAAAATTGAATGCTTTTGTGTTATTTAAAGCACCTTTAATTCTGAGATCTAAAATTTTAGAATGAATACTGGTTTATAAATTAGAGTTTGCAAAATGAAGTTGAACAAAAGTTAATTTAAGTTGTCTTTAACCGTGAATCCGTTGCACTAAATTAATCACGTGACAGCTTCTGAAAATTAAATAGACTCATTTGGCAAAATGAATAAAGGCACATAACAACAAAAACAAGAAAAATATACTCAAACAACACAACATAATATAAAGAAAAGAAGGGACTCAAAAGCTCAAGAGTCAAGCACCAAGCATATTGTACACCCCAAAATATTTAGGCATGGGTCTCAACTGAACATTGGCAACCATTAACTCTAGTTAAATCACCAATTTTAGAAAATCAAAACCCATAAAACCTCAATTACTAAAGGTTGGCAGGATAAAAGCCTTCAAGGAAAAATAATTCCAATAAAAAATGCTAATACCACATTAACTTAGGCACGGGGCAAATCAATTGTTTTTTTTTTTTTTAACTATAATTGCCCCGCATTGGCCTATTATTGTGCATGCGGACCCACATATGCTTCAAGTTTATTTACTAGTTCACTGTCACCACATATATATTTGGAGTTCTCTTCAAGTGAACAACATAAAACTTTTCCTTTTAACATATCCACGCAAAATTTCAACATACAAAAAGTCCATAGCCATTAAAGTCCCACAATGATTGTAAGACCTTTTAAATTTATTGTAATGAAGTTAGTATCAAATTAGTTGCTATTATTGTATGATTTTCTTCCTATCGACTTGCTAAAACAAGTTTAAGATTATTAGAACACCATAAATCTGATTAACAGCAAGAAGCATAACTTCATAAATTGAAAAAATCATTTTCATTTTGAAATTTTATATAACTGAAGGGTAAAATTAGATTTTAGACAACCATGTGCAAATTATTGAAATGACAATAATTCATACATTCTACTTTGTGCGCACACATTCCATTCTCAGTGGAATTCAGTTTTAATGGGTAGAAAGCATTGTGTTTAAGATATTGCCCGCTGGGCATTCCGTGATGTGGGTTGACTTGAATATGCCAACACTCACCCAGCCTACAGAAAGATTTTGAGGATAATCTTTTCACCACGTCATTCATAATTTAGAAGAAAAAGAAAAAGGATTTGAAACTTAAAAAAGAATCTTCATATCATCACACTCTAAAAACTATTGATGCCCCACAGATCAAAGAAACTCTAATAATTAGACTTGATAACACAAGTCAACCCCATTGTAGATCGAGCTACAATCGGCCTGTTCCGGGTGAGTTAGGAAAATACATTAAAACTAAGGCTATATCTACGTTATATATAGTGGTAACAAAATTAAGATTTCTTTTTCATATTTGATGGCATGTACGTCAAGACTCCTATAAAAAAATTGTCACTTAAAGGTTAGATTTATTTTTCATTTGCCTCAATTTCTTCCACCATCCTTACTTATTGCATTTTCATTTTCAAGTACTACACATTAACCAAATATTTCATAAAGTTGAAATAAAGTGATGATTTCACATAGCTTTTATTGCAATAAACAATCTCGTATTCACTATTGTCAAATAATTAAAATTTGAATGGGGTTAAGCTCTAATCAGGGAAATCTCTTTCAATGTAATTTATTTTCCCAATTGCAAATTTAAAACTTAAAAAAATGTCGAATAACCAGTCACTTATCCCAACTTTCGTTATTGACGATTTTGAATGGTTAGTTGAGTAGTTATGTGATCAAACAAATAACACATAATGATGATTCTTGATAGAAATTAATCAAATAATCGAGGCCTTGCCAAATGAAATCTGAATTCCTTCTATTGTTAAAAAAAGAAAAAACACTTTCAAAGAACTGTCATCGAGAGAATCAATATGATAACAGGATTCCAGCATTATTTTTGTGAGACAATACAATAACGTACAACAATCAGTTACGTAATGCTCCTGCTCCAAGATGGGGCCGTTACAACGATGAATCTCTGGAGAGTTCACTATACATATTAGATATTGCTTCTGAAAAGTGTTCTTTCGCTTGAGGCCTCTTAATCTGAAAGGATGAATGCACACATTTATTCATATACATATACACATATATTTTCATATTCTCCAGAGGATCTAATTTACAAAAGAATCCCAAATCAATTATGAATCAACAAAATAAGCATGTTATATTAATACCTGCTAGTGTCTATTAACAATTAATTTGGATTACCACGATTGAAGATCCCTTTATTGAAAACTCCTATCAAGTCTTGCAGATACTAAACAATATACCTTGAATGTTGGAGTCAACAAGCCGTTTTCCATAGTAAATGGTTCCGGTGTCAAACTGATAGCTTTAACATATTCGAAACCTCTAAGCTGAAGGGCATTAAGCAGTTGAAGATATTTAGATATTAAATACTGAGATTTATAAAAGGGATAACCACAACTGCATGATTTTATAAACTTGCCTGAGCTTCTCTTCCTGCAGCATCCATCTCAGCCAAGACAGCAGCCCTTGCTCTTGGATCATTGCAAAGTTGCGCCAAATCATTATACTGCATCCATGCCCACGAATAAGGGAATAAGCACCCAGTTGAGAGTTGCGACTGCTCATTTAATCAGAACTTGCAATCTCAGCAAAATAAAACTAAAGGATACCACCTACCTGGAAGTTTGATGAAACTAGAAGGTTTTTCTCCCTTGTAATTAAAATTAAACAGACCTACCTTGTTTTAAGATTTGGCATAAAATATATTCCTTGACCTTGTATCTTAAGTCTTAACACAGACCGTCTCCTATTTTCATTTAACTTCGGGGTCTATAATGCAATACAGTACTCTAAACGAAACTCCCGGAACAACCAAGTTGGAAATGTAAATTCAATCCAAGGCAGTGTTTGGTTGAGGTTTTTCAGGGGAGGGGAGGGGGGTAAGGTAGTTTGGTTGCGGAAGTTGGAGGGGAGGGAAGACAAATTTTATTTTCTCTCTCTGCACTCCGAAATTGGGGGATTTTTGTTTGGAGGCGAGGGATATAACTTTTTTGCTTTCCAAAACTGCCCCTCACTGAAAATTGTTATTTGTTCTGATATTTTATTTTTCATAATGAAAAAATTATCAAGGGTGCAAGAATATATTTATTCTTCTAAAATAGAATTGATTTTTATATAATATGAAAATAAAATGTTTGTATTGTTGTAGTAAAAAAAAATTCTAATGAGATAATATGTTAAAACTTATCAAATCATCTTTCAAAAACATATTAAAAAAATTATCATATACAACCATATAAGTGAGGTAAGAGAATTTTGGGATAAAAATTTAAAAAAAAATCATAATATAAAAAACTTCCATTCTAAAAGAGAAAATAACAGTGAGGGTTGAAATAATATAAGGGCCTGTTTGTCAATTCATAATTAGCCCCCTCCCTTTCCCTCTTGAATCTAACAAGAATACCTACGCTCCCCTCCCTTTCATCCCAACTAAACAAGAGGTCACTAATAAAACCTTTCCCCACCCCTCCATTGAACGAAACAACATCTAGAAACGAGCAAGGACACACAAAAGTTCTACATTCACTTGGCTAAATAATTTCTCACCAATAAGTCTTCACAGAATCCAATGTAATTCCAAATCATGCTTTTTTCCAAACAAGGTTTTGAGTTGATTGGCTAAAAACTGTCTGATTAAAAAACGACACATCCCTTTTGAACAATTCAGATAATAAAATGCTCTGAAGCTTCTGTTTTAGTAGAATATCAACAAGACACACACACAGATATGAGCAAAGCAAGGGCCGGGCAGCTTCACCCTCGAGGAGAGGAAACCCAAAAAGGGGGAAAAAAAGGAAACAAAAGGGGCAAAAAGCCTTTAACCTAATAAAAGCAGCAGCTGAAAATTCAGATCTGGAGGGTATAAATTCCTGATTTTATGCATGACATTACAACATCTTTGCTTTATTTTCGAACACAAAACTAAGGCTTAGGTTTGCAAAATTCAAAATCCTTAGAAATTCATTAAAGGATCCTTCAACCTTATAAAAGCAAGTTCTCGATTTAAATTGTGCTGGGTTCCCTAAACAACTATGACAGTCGACTCGTACATAAGCCAATGGCACAGTTAAGAGGCAAGATTATAACTTTTCTTTCTTGGCAGATATGATAACAGCACTGAGCAAACATGTATGAGAATTGAACAGATTTTTTAAGGGAAAAATAGTTAAATTACCACAATGCCTTCAGAATTAGCCCACGCTTTTAAGGAATCAGGATCCACGGAGACAATAGCAACCAAAGAAGAATTTAAGCTATCACCTACGAAAGGAAAATTATGCATTAGCAACTAGGAGAGGGAAGAGGAGATAGAAGAGCACAAGTGCACATATCAAAATTGTAAAACCTTAATTGCTTACCATATACAAAGCATTGTGCCACAAATTTGCACTTGACATACACGTTTTCAATCTTCTCCGGAGCAATGTACTCTCCTTGTGCCAACTTAAAGATATTCTTTTTCCTATATTGGAAATACAAAGCTTTTGTTCATATGCTTGATAAATGCAATTATAATTGTGATAGCCATGCTGAGAAGATCTGCAATATTCACAAATACTGGGAAACAGAACCAGGAATAATACAGACACCAACTCTAGAAGAAATCACACATATGAAATGATTGAAATCTGCATTTGGTAGTCAAGTTTGCTACAGTAAAGCACAGCATGTATATTGGAGGATGATGAAAAAAATTAAATTAAATATTCTCCTTTCACCCACTTATCATATTTTGCACAAGTAATGGTTAACAATGATAACAAACCTTATCCTGCTAAATAATGTCAGTTATATGAATCACACAATGCTATTGGAGTCTATCAACAACCGATTTATCAGATATATCATTCACCAAAAGATCATGTTTGATAACTTTCTTAAGCTCCATCAACATCTTTCTAGGGCTAAATACCATTTAAACAAACTTTTCTCACTGCATCCTTTAGCGGCCTTTTTGCACATATCACCACCTTAATCAATTTTCTACTATTTTCTCTTCAATAGATGCCACAGAAACTTTTCCTCATACATTATTATGGATCTTGTCTTTTCTTGTATGACCTCCTATCCATAGTGTAACCAAGAAACAGATCCTATAAATTAGTGAATCTAAAATCAAGCTATTGTGTATTTGTTCAAAAAAAATAAAAATCAAGCTATTGTGTAATCAAGGGAAAGAAAGTAAAATGAGTTTGATTTTTTTTTTCCCAGACCAATTTATGAAGATAATCTGTAAGCTAGAGGTATTATTCAACTTTTATGTCGTTAAAAATAGCACCCATCAAACAAAGCAATGACCGATAACAATTTTGCTTGAGTCATTTAAGTCGACTCAATGAACACAGCATGCTCGCAGCCACAGGATTAAGGAGGGAGCTAGCATTTATAAATGATAATTTTAAGTATCCATGTTTTATTTTAAAATACAGTCCATAGTTTTCTCACCTATCAATAATTTTGAGACGACCACCAGGTAACCACATCCCAATATCTCCAGTATGGAGCCATCCATCTATGTCAATCACCTCTCTCCTGCTCAATTGATTCAATACTCAGGTAATTTTAAAAGAACGAGCTAAAATTAGCTTAGAAGAACCACAGAAAAAGCAAGCTGATTACGTTTGAGCTTCATCATTGTAATAACCCAGGAAGACAATGGGACCCCTGACACAAATTTCACCACGGGGATTGGGCCAATCTTCAGATGTATAGCTCATTTCTGGAACATCAACAAGTTTTATCTCTGAAACAGGGAAGAAAAATTGTTAGCAACGGACACAAAAATACACTACTAAAACAAACCGGATAGGACCTAACTTTAAAATCCTTTAAATTACATGCGAAACAATGAATAAGTGTTTAAACATTTTCATTTTTGGTTAGATGACAAAGATTATTATCAACTTTAGCCAAAAAATTTCCTTTAAAAAGTAAAAACAAGGATGCACTAAGTGGATAATCTAAGTACAAGACTATCATAAGCAAAACTTCAGCAACAACCAATTAGTATTCACACTAAAGGCTCATTAATTTAGTTGATGCATAAATACTTGAACCAGGAATTGAAATAACACTTATTCTCACCCACTAGAATAAGCCAATATAATCTTTTATCAGAAACTGACAAGATCGCCAGTGTTTTTATTCCTGATCAACCCAGTGAAAGAGATTAGAAAAAAATAATAGTAATCCACTTTTGTTTCATTCTTATCCCTATTATTCAAATAAACACTCTCTCCCCAATCTACACTTGTAATTCTACTGAAACAATCTCCTTTGTTCATTTCACATACATAGCCAAGATATAAATTAATAACGACTACAAGATCAATAAAATACTGTAGTTCTAAAACTCAAAAGAAAAAATCAAAGGAGAGATGAAAACCTCTTTAGACCACTTATGGTGGAATTTTACAACTCGGAAGAAGGAAGAAAGGAGAGAAGTAATTAAAGTTTAATCTTTTCATGATCAAGTTAGTTGCAACAAAGCATTATCTCATATCATCGGTCCAGAGTCATTTATGAATCTGAAACTCACATCAATTACTCACCACATGCCGCATTAGGAGAGCCAACATGCCCAGAAAGCTTGTCACCCTCATCCATACAGCTTATTACACAAGTAGTCTCGGTCATTCCATACCCTTCAGAAACTCGACCACCAAAGCAACTGTTGAGTAGTTGTAAGTTGTAACACATGAATGGACCAGGACAATAGTTTTTGTTAAAAAAATAAAATCCTCTTTAGCAATTAATACACCAATATAAGCTTACATCTTCAAAAAATCCATTATATCAGGCGATAAAGGTGAAGCGCCTGACACCATCAAGCGAACTCGTCCTCCAAGTTTTTCCTTAATCTTATTGAAAACTAATCTATCCCACATGGGAGATGGGTTCTTTCCTGAAATAATGAAAAATATGGGAGTTATGCGGTTTTGTTTCTATGTGAAACCAAAGTGCACAAAGACAGCACTATGCTACCAGCATTATGATAGTTGAATCCCTGCCCCATGTCCCATTTACAGACAAGCCACTTTATCGCAGATGAGAGTCAGGTTCTTAGAGGAATGCTATTTTACCTTATCATCTACCAAGGTAATTTGATAAGTTTTATGCTACAGACACCAGAGCCTGACTCAAACAACCAACCTCTTAATTTGTCATCATTGTGGATGTTTTAAAAGCAATCTTCTGAGAAAAATATACGTCTTCCAGACAGAATGTAGGAAAGTAGAAAATTATGAATTTAAGTTTATGTTATGACTTGTTAAGATTCAGGGTTTTTAAGTCTTTTGACCTTCCAATTGCCCTTTGCAAAGGTAAATGCAATCAAATTCATTCTGATTTGCCCAATATGATAGTCTTTCTTCCTCTCAGTATTTTGTATCATCACTTGTTTCCGTGATAACTGAGAGCTATTAAATCAGTTGCACAGGCTTAGTCTTGCACTAGGCCTTAAAAATTAAATGGCATTTCAACTATTTTCCCTGATGAAATTTGGGTTCAATCGTTTAAGATGATCATATTATAAAATCTGCAATTCTTATCTAGTCAACACCCACTCCCTTAAAATATATATAAAAAAACAAAAGCCATAAAAATGGCAATTGGCCCATCAACAGCACAAGATGTAACTATTTATGAGGAGGGAGTTTAAATACAATATTGACAACGCACAACACCTGTCAAAGTATCAACAGGATCAATCTGAAGCACACGAGGAATCAAATAGCATAGCAAATATGTTGGCAAGATATATGAATGTCATGGCATGCAATGTGTAAGTCATAGTGAAAGCACTTTACCGTGCAATATTGCTTGCTTTTTAGCATTGTAAGCAGCATTAAAAAGCCTCTCCCTCAGACCACCAGACGTTTTGGCAGCACTGAGAATGCTGCAAAAGAAGACCATTCAATTATTTGACACAACAAGGAACAAGCCCATCAAATGCTAATTCTGAAAAGCATAGAATTATCATTGTACCCAGCATATATTCTATTGTAAAGCCGAGGAACGCTGCAAAAGATAGTAGGTCTTAGGACAGCAAGATCATCCATCAATTTCATATTGTCCTGCATATAAACGTTTCAAACAAGCATGTCAAGCTTACCAGAAATTAACACGTCATAATGTGAAAACAAAGCTAATTATTCAAAGATCACATAAAAAGTCAAGATAAGGCATGGACTGTACAAGTAATCAACAAGTATTGAACAGTAAAATAAGTTAGACAATTACATTAATTTATTTCACATTACATAGATAGTTATTATTCAGAAGAATTTTGCAAGCTTGATTCCATTCACAATTTGCAGAAATAAATAAGAACGTGCAAAATCCATAGAAAATAATAGAAATAGAAGTCCCACGTACACGATCTTTTCAAAGAATAGAGTGTCATTTCAAAGAATGCAAAGTGGCAAGATATTAAAATGTGGCCAGTACAAAAGTCCGTCATCCTGCCCGTTTAAATTTTTGTACGTAAGTATTTGATGATTATTACATGGGTTCCTTGTGCTACATTAAATTATCAGATAATTCAGTATTTCTAGCTTCTATATAAACTAAGCAGTTGTAAGCACCAAATCCATGATATAAAAATAAAATCAGCAAATAAAATGAACTAATAATATACTAATTTGGAGATAGCATGATCTTATTTGTAACAAATTAAGCCTAAAAAGTGAAAGGAAGAAAGAAGCTTAAATGATCCATTATACTCACTCCCTGATAGAATCCAACTGCAATTCCAAAATGTACTGTCATGACCTGGTTTGCTCTTTCATAAATATGTGCTAATGGAAGATAGGATATATAACTGAAAATGAAAAAAAGCTCATGTAAACACTGAAGAGTGAGTTTGTGGTTCTTGGAATTCGTATAATTGATCTGAAGAAAGGAAATCCATGTGTATAGAGGGTTGGCTACAGAAAACAACCACACACTCCAGCCAGAGACAAAAAAAAAAAAAAATCAGGGTCTTTTTTTTTGTGGGGGGGGGGACTACGAATATAAAAGGAAAAAAGGTGACAACATTTGTACAGCAAATGCAAATTCAGTAACTATGAGAGCATATTTTGAAGATAGTTTTACTAAAGATAGCAGCCACTTGGGACTGAGTTGGAAAGTATGGCAACTCAGTGACAAAGATGCCATCTTTTCCTTAACAAAATGTCAGCCAAACTCACATGTTTAATGCTGCCATGATACACAGGTTTTTTTGCATTGCTAATAGTTCAAATAATTCATGGCAACAAAAATGTAATCAGTGTCCTTCTGCAGGTGTGCCACGCATTAAGACAAAGCTTTTGATGATGTTTGGCCATCTTGGGCTTTTATATTGAAAGCCAATCCCCAGCCAAATTGTTTGAAAACATGTCAAGCTTTATGTAGCTCTAATACCATGAAGAACTTCAAAGCTATTGAATCTCTAACTTCATATTATTCAAAGGCAACATATATATATATTGACAGTTGGCGACAAAAAAGAGCCGCTCATTCCAAACAAACAAAGACCAGAAAATCAGAAAAATGGAAGGAGCAATAAAGATGAATAAAACAGCAAATAGTCAGTAACTAGAGATATGAGGAATTAAGGAGCATAAATTGTGGGATTCCAATGAAGAACAATACAAATAATAAGCTACTAAAGCAAAAAGTGGCAACAACTTTAGACATAAAAAAGGACTCACACATCAGAAGGATAGAATTTTTCATTTAAAGTGGCTCCAGCAACACTTGCAATAAAGTTTCCATGGGTCAACACAGCTCCCTGGCCAGAATTTATTCGGCAAAAATATCAAGAGATGTTTATAACTGCTATATGAAAAGAAAGCAATATGGGAGAATAGATACCATTTTCAACAATCAGCTATAATTTTGAAGGAACTTACACACCTTTGGGGTTCCAGTTGTACCACTTGTATAACAGATGGTTGCAACATCATCAGGTTTTGGTGGGTGAAAAGGCATATGATTGCTGCTTCCCTAGATAAAAACAGCAGAAATAAATGCAGCAGATCAAATCAATCACAGACCATTTTTATGAAGCTTTAAAACCAATGTGCTACAATATATGCATGTTCTTATCATTTCAAAACCATTTTTATTCCAACTTACCACAATTTAAAATAAAAAATAATAACTGAAAAAATAGAGATTATGTTTAAACAGTTTAATAGGCATTGAAAAAGAAAAGGAAATGTATGTGCAGAGACAATTCTTAAAAGCGATACTTCAAAAAGTAGTCAAGACAGAATGCAATACGTGAGGATTTTATATGCAAGCAGGAGCCATCATGTTACATATATCTGCCTAAATGAAAAAGATGGACTAATGATATACTACATTTGCATACTTAGAGCATGACAGAAGCAGAAATAACAGTTGACCTTTGGAGCAAAGAATAATTTAGATGCAGAAGATTATTTGGGTACGATTTATGTCAACAGTCAACTACATAGTTCTTTTCAGACAAATTGAGTAAATATGCATGATCTTATATTTTCTCTTTGGGAATTTCTAGTATACATTATGGAACTACGGCAAAAGAGAGAGAGAGAGAGGGAGAGGAAACAGAGAATTAGAGGGTAGAACTTAAGTAACATTTCCTCGCTAAATCAAGGGAGGCATAAAGTAAAATATGAACACACTATATAATACTTCAGAAGATCAACAATCTTCAACAGCAGCAGAAAATAAGTACCAGATTAAGTAGTTTTGAATAAGTCATGATCTCAACTCCAGCTGAGGATGGAAGAGACGGAATTTGGTCATCTATACCTCCAACTACCTGTACAAGAACTATAACTTAGCAAATAATTACATTATGCATTAAGATTTAATGGCACCAGGCATAAATACATACCACTATTAGACGTACAGTTGGAATATCTGACAAGTAGCTTAACAGCTGCAAGCTCAAGCAACAAGATAAATAAATTTCACAGAAGAAAAGTCAAATTCATAAACAATATGAAAAATAGTGGAGAATAACATCTGAAGTATCTTCTTTTTCATCTCAGTACAACCAGTTAATTGGTGCTAAGCACGTTCTAAATAACAAAATTCTTCCCCTGCTCACTAAAAAAAGTGTAATTGTCCTCAAAATATAATCAATGCTTTTTGTATAATGTGGTGACCAAGCATAATATGAAATCATGAACCTTTAACCGCAACTCTCAATTTATTATCAGCCATACATGATGCTAATGTGTCCCAAGCCAGTAACACAGCAGAAAACAATAAATAAGACAGCAACAGCAATAAATATGAGAGGAAAATGCTGAGGTTTTTATATCAATAAGCTGAATGAACTGAATCAAAGTTACAAGGATACTCTCATATTCTGGCCAAAACCCTATTTCCTCTCAAAGATCAAAATAATACCAGCAACACAGATTACAAGCTTCAAAAAAGAGTCCCACTCCCACTAGCATTCGAGAGGCCAGTCTCTCCTCACAATTCCATTACCAAAGACGTAATCCCCCCAAGCAAAAGACTACTAATGCCTTCAGCATGGCTTACAGACAGCCCATACTACCCAAAAGATCATAATCATGACAAAAGATCACAAATTACTGTTACTTACAACTAGGGACCAAAGGATAAGCCTCTAGACTAGTTAAAGTATTTCCACTAGAGTTATTCTTCCCTTTTGACTTCCTCTTATATGTCTTAGGAAAATAACGGGCTCTATCCAATTCCTAGGGCAGCAGGAATTTTGGATTAAAATTCTGTAGTAACTTGTAAGTAGTAACCATTCTACAGACTTTTCCTGAAAATGCTCCCAACCAATTTCTTGTTTTTCTTAACATATCCAAATGATTTCTGTTAAAGTTAAACTATCATGTTAAACAGAAGTTAAGAAAATTGGAGAGAGAACTCCATCAAATGATATTCCTCTGCCTTTCAGGTCTCAACTTTGTGTAACTCACTCTACGTTGGGAGGTTTAGGACCTCTTCTGCAGCACACAAGATGCAGCCATGCAATAAATCTTACTATTTTACAGGCATAGTCACCATTTCTGAGTTTTTTTTACTAGACAAGATGCTTGGATTAATAAGGTTCTTGCAGCGTAAGAAAGTAGCATATCATATCAAGCAATAACCGAAGTTGACATAGTGACATATACTTACTGAATTTAGTGTTTGAGGCACACAAAATATAACTTGTACAGTAGCATGATTAACTATATACTTCACAGCATCAGGACCTACAGAAAAAAAAATGCCTTACTGTTAAATTTAACAGACAAAACGAAGCAACTATGAAGTAGAACCGTTCCCTATTAAATGAAGAGCAACTAACCAAGCGTGTCATATAATGGTATTGAAATATACGAATATGCAGAGCAAGCATGATCAACAATAAGCCACTCAGGTCTGTTAATAAAATATAGCCCAATGCAGGAACCCTGTACGAGAACATACAGTTAATTACATGAAGTTAAATGACAGATCATGAATAGTAAAAATCATTAATCAATCGTAGAACTATATCTTAGTAGTCACCTTTGGGATTCCATGATTAACCAAACCAGAACCTATTGCCGACCGGGCAGTACCTGCTTCTCCATAAGTCATCCATTTGTACCTTAACAGCACATGATAAATAAAAAATGATGAGAACTTTGTAAAAGTAAGCTCGAATAGAAAAGGCAAGAAAGGACCAGATAGCCTCAGGGGCTAATCATTGAGCTGCTTACTCCCCAACAGTTCCATCAACTCGATTCCGAGTTCCCAAATATCTGTAATCTCGAAAAGTTTCAACTGAGTGCCTGTGATGCCGGAGTCAAGAAAAATATTTATCAACTTCCAAGGCAACACAAATGAACTCATATGAGTATTGCTCAATGAAATTACTAGTCAAACTTTTAGAAACTGATACTAGAATTTTGCAGAGAAAAATCAGTAGTGCTCACTCAAAATTATCATGCAGTGTACCAATTTCAGGATGATCAGGAAACCTGCTCACCAGCTTCAACGGTGAACGGGCAGATCTGAAACAATAATTATGAATCATATCTTAGCAAGGGAGTTAAAATGGCATATAAAAAGTAATATAAAGAAAATTGGGAGAAGCACACCTGTACACGTTCCATTTTCCTGTCTGTAGCTTCTCTGGTAGTACAACACTGTATCCTTGCTCTGCTCAGAAGAAAACATCAGAACTAGGAACAACAATATCGACAAATCATTATTACCAAAAGAAATATCAACCAATCATGAAGATGAAACGATTAAATAAAAAATGGACTGAAAATTGTACTAGGTGCAAGGTGAGCCCTCCAAAATAACAAGATTTAGAAAATAAACAGTTTTGGATAGTGTGAACATTGGTGTTTGCAGAACCAGGCGGTCTTCCCCTTATAAAGTTATATTTCTTTCTATGAACAAACTAAAGGATGTGCTACCAAACAATACACAAATGACATTCCAACGTAAAATCTTGCTTCCTTTAACTGTATTAAAAAAATGCACTAGGGTCTGAATAAAATGTCAAGACAAATAGAACAAAAACCATATGCAATGCCTTGTACAATAATAGATTCTTTTGATGCGATGTTTTGATACTAGAAGTCCAAATTCATCATGTACAAGAAATAATTCCAGAATTCATAAATTCAACAAATTACATTAATTTATTTCATACAGATTCCTCTGACGAGAGAATAAGAAGCTCTTACAGTTTCTTTTTTTCTTTTTTTGGGGTATACGAAGCTCTGACAGTTTTGTTCAAACAAAACCATACTGATAGGACCTTCTCCAAACCTTTAAAACATCATAGCACTACCCAATACTGATAGCTTTTTTCAGTTGAAAACGTTTCTTCATTATATTCAGTTCCGAGAACGAGTTAATAAAGAAACGTTGACTCTTGTCAGTCACAAGAAACAGCATCCTCCTATCAGTGGAGTTTGGATCATATTTAAAAGGCAAAATACAACGTTTCATATCCAGAAAGTGGATAAACATAGCAGTGCCATTCCATCACTTCAGAATTCAGATGTTTTTCCTGCCTAAAGCAGATCCCCGGAATGTTGGAATTTCGCATCGAAGGGATGTGATGCAGTCAAGAAGAAAAGAAAAAAGAGCGCCCAACCAGTCAGGATTCATCAATGAGATATATATAAGCCCACTTTGTTAAGTTCGACAAGCTGAACATCCATCACTTTAGCATAAAGTCAGTGACCCACCAATGAACTTACAACGATATCACCACAAACTAAAGCACTGAATGACGACAAGGGATATTCATCTATAAAGAACGGCGCATGATAGGATGTTCCACTAAGACGAAGATTAAAAAGTGGACCTACTTTTCAACACAGTAACACAATAATCCAATTTCCAAATGAGCTCCTCTTGTGCAAAATCAAGCAGAGATAGCAACATAAACATAGAACAGACAGAAAAAAGTACCGAGGACGAACTCGCCGGCGGTTAGATGGGGTCGGAGCTGGGAAAGAGAATCAGATTTGGAGAGAAGGTGGCCTTGAATAGCTTTGAGACGACGTTGAGCAGGCGAAGAATCCATGGGCGACAGAACAACTCAAAGGTGGGAACCAAAGAAAGAAAGCCAAGTGAAATCGCGTTTTCCTGATATAGGGGACGATTGAATATTCAAAAGGAAAGGAAAATGATTGAGACGGGGACGAGAAGGAAAAAAGACTACGTGGCTCACAAAACAAGGAAAGCAACTATACGGTTGTATTTATTATCATCTTATTGTTAAAATCATGCATTAATTTTATCCGAGATACATGCAGATGAAGTAAACAGAAATCATGAAGAGTAAATCCTGAAGAAACTGATTCATTTATCGAATTTCATGCAGTGTAATGGGCCCAGATCTATTTCTTTCTCCAATTTTTACATATTCATGGAATCATAGTGGTGACAGGTCCTTATCCTTAGATTAAGAGTATTCAACTTATACCCAACTTGATTTCATTTCAATCACATTCAAACAAGTCTTGTCATAATTTAAAAACAATCAGGACGAAATAAGAAAAGAGTTCAGGATAGGACGAGACACAAAATTACTATCGATCTCATCCCAAATATTATATATATATATATATATATAATTTTTTTATTTTAAAAATATACATTAAATATATTAATTATATTAATATAATTTGTACTTATATTAATTATATCAATTACAATTTCAATACACACAATTCTTATTTAAAATTAAAATTTTTTATATTAATAATTTTAATGACACAGAGTAAATAGGGCGATATCTTTCTTTATAATATATAAATTATATTAATACAATTTATTATTATATTTCTCTATTTAATAACGTTTATTTATATCATATTTCTTACTTTATTTTTGAAAAAATAATTAGCTTAACACATATAATTAAAGTAGAAGAACAATGATTTGATGTCATACTTAGCTTGTCTGTTGTTGCTATTCTTATAGCTTATAAATTACTTGTAATTGCTATCATAATGTGTTATACATTTATAGTTGTAATTTATGTAATTCAATAATTGACTTTAAATTGTTGTGGTCATATACTATTGTTGTTTAAATTTTAAACTTAATAAATTATATGATTTAAAATTAAAAAAATTAACCATTTAGTCTTTGTAATTTTGACTCAATTATAACTCAGTCTCTGAATTTTGACTCATTATAACTCAATTTCTAAAATTTTAACTCACTTGTAAATCAGTTCATGAATTTTGCCTCTTACACTTTAGTCCCTGAAATTTCATCTTCTTAAATATCAAGCCTTATATTTAAAAAAATAAAATTAAAAAAATTAAAAATATTTTAAAATTTATTACTAATATCTTAAATTACTAAACCACTTTAATATTTATAAATTTAAAATTTTAAAATATTTTTAATTTTTAAAATTTTATTTTTTTAAATATAGGGAACAATATTTAAGAGATTGAAACTTTGAGGATTAAATTACAAGAGTTAAAGTTCATAGATTGATTTACAATCAAGTCAAAATTTCATGGACTGAGTTATAATGAGTCAAAATTTAAAAATTGAGTTACAATTGGGTCAAAACTATAATGAACAAATAATTAATTTTTTATTTAAAATTTTATTAAATATTATTATTCAAATTTTTTTTAATACTATTCAACTTATCAAAATGGTGGGACGTTCCAACCCCCAATCCAATCTTAATTTTTAATGGGACGGGAAAAAATTTTGAGAGATTCTATCCCATCTCACAAGCACCCCTGAATGACAATGAGGCAATGTATTTTTTTTTGTTGTTTTTCAACCTTTTTCAACTCACTCCAAAAAAAAAAAAAAAATCAAAATATCCTGCGTGTAGTTTTATAAAACTCGTGCAACATTTACAAGCACCATCACTAATATATATTTAATTTAATCGACAAACAGAAGCAACCATCAATGTGTGTAACATTATAATAATTTGAATTGATACGATATATTATATAATATTTATAATTAAATATATGAATAACATGCAGTTTTTCCTGGCAAAAAGAGGATTGCGTGTATTTTATAAAATTTTGTGTACGTGGTGCAAAAGTAGTTCCTCAAGCAAATTACGGAAGATCCGGAGGTGAAATATCTGCCCGTCACTGTCAGTGCCGGCCCTCTACCAGAATGCATATTCTAATTCTAAATTCTCCTTTTCGGACAAAAAAAAAATCTAAATTCTTCCACAGCCTAATCTAAAATTGACCCTTTATTTAAAGTAATTTTCAAAATTAAAAAAATGATCCTAAAAATGAGCAGATCAGGACTCAGAAAGAAAGGATTAAGGTGGCTCCACCAACGAACCAACAGTTCTTTGATATTATTGTGTAATTGGATTATCCTGAGAAAGAATGTGGGGCGCTTCATCTTATGTTTTTATATCTTTCTCGTTCCAAAGATATTTTCTAAATATCTGGCGGGAAGATAATATAAAATTTTCCATCATTAAAAGAAAGAAAGTTATTTAAAAAAAAAAAAAAGGCTTTTAGCAGGGGCAGCCTTTTCACGTGAAGTGAACGTAACCTTGTTGTGTTGACCCCACAAGTAACCATCTTTGAATTGAAACAGACAAATGCTTGGCCGAAAAAACAAGAACAGAAGGCTACATAAAAATGATCCAATGCATATCTTCTTTTCCAATTATCCCAACGGCACCAGGCGCCAGAAAAATCTCCATCAACCTTTTTCTTCCATTCAATTTTTTTTTTTTTTGCCAGTAGCATTATTTCTTTTTCACGAGCTTTGTCTTGCATAGTTGCGTGCTATTTTCGGCTCTACTTTTACGTACTCATTATAAGGCTAGTTTTCTTCTGGGCCAATCTTATCGGAATAGTTTAATGAGCACAGTTTCATTTTAATCTTTTATGTTAAACTTTCGGTAAAATTATTTCATCAATTTAGGATATCATGGCCTTTTTTTCACAAATTAATCTCTCAGACGACTAAATACACCACGACAAACATTGGAACGAGTTTAAAATTTATAGCTTAACAATAACATAAATTGCTATAAATTTATAGCAGTGTTATCTATTTTTGTATTTTCCTCTTACTTTATACTACATATAATTTTTTTAAAATATATGGTTTTTCATGATAAGAAGAAATTGAACTATAAGCAAATACTTTTTTATAATAATATTGCTTTCTTTAATTATATTTTAACCATAATTCGTTAAAGAATGCATTTTCAAACTTTTATTCCCACATTATTTATTGCATGGAAAATGAAATTTTTATGCTAAATTTTAAAAAGTTTGCCATTCTAATATTTATTCAACTTTTAATTCGTACTTCTTATAAGTACATATTAAAAAGGCATTTTAATCAATCAACACACATGCACAATAAAATCCATATAGCAAACCGCACTATCAGAGAACATATATGATTGAATGGAATAACACCGTTATTGTGGCGAAGCGAAATGAAAACAATCCATGTAAGACATCATTATGAAAGAAATCGATAGATTCTTGTAATATTCTCATAACGAAAAAAAGAAAAAGATAGCTTAGCTCAAACAAATACTTCATACTAAGAACATGATTTACTCCAACATAAAAAGAAAAAATTATTAGGCAGACTTAATACACCATGTTATTTGTAGTCAAATCACTAATAACATAACACGCCCAATCCACTCAAGAATTTTTCTATGAAAAGATAACACTGCTGAACATTCAATATTTACTTATACTCTATCTGCCTCTATATATAAAATATTTTTAAAATCTTATTTCACCCCTATATAAAAAGGGTCAACAATATTTTTTAGTAACTAAACAATTTTACCTTAAAAAAATAGATTATTAATTGTGTATTTTTCCCACTGCCACCATGACATTAATTGTAACATTATTAAAGGCAAGACTAAAAAATCATTGTAATTTATGTAATTTCAACTAAATAACAAATTTTTATTAGTTAGGTGAATTTGGTTAAAAACAATTTATATATATAAAGATGGAGGAGTATATCCTATCAGGCAAAGAACGATCTACCCTTGGACCAAGCATCATCTAATGAAGCAAGCAATCCCTGGAGCTTGCGAGATCAACAGGATTCACAGATAAGTTGAAACTTGAAAGCACCATCGAGTTGAGATATATTGGTCACTCTTTATTTAAAACCTCCAAACTATCCTTGCCACTATTAAAACGACACGCCCCAATCATGTTCGACTTGTACATCCAACTACAACCTAAATAAGGCTCATCGCATGTCTCATTTTTCACACACACTAGAAGAGCTCCATTAATTGCTGTGTCACATCTGCACAAAGGAAGAATCACTATTAACCAACCATAATTATTAATTACATATATAGCGAGAGAAAGATTAAAAGAAAGCTGTCACATGTGCATCAAAGAAATTCATTTATCCAGTGCCAATGTACAATACTTCAGAACAGAATAAATCCAACAATGCAGCTGGAAAGCAAATAGCAAGTTATGGGAGTACCTTGAAGAATGGATGGCGTTGTCTCAAACTCCTGCCATATGTTCCGACATGCAGAAAGATCCATGTTCAAAAACTTGGCAGCAAGATGTGCCGCTCCAGCAGCAATATGATGTGGTTTAAACTGTAGCCATAACGAACTACGAAGCCTGCAAAACAACAATTTTCAGTTTCAGAAGATCATAGAAGATACGCTACTGCCACTAGCATAATAGCATTCGTCATCACAAGTGAGCTACATGTATATAGGTCAAACTAACCATTTGGTGCAACACTAACAGAAGCAGATTCTTGTACAACTTAAGCATATATTCCAACCATGACAGAGATCATGTCAGCAACTAAGACGAACAGTTACATAAACTAAACAATAAAAAACAGAATTGAGCATTCATGCCAAGTGGTAAACACATATTAACGTTTCCTTACCAACTAGAAAGGCAGCAACTCAGGAAGAATAATAATCCAAGAATCTCTGCAGGAGGCTGATAGTACCAAACTATAGCATTATGTTACACTCATCTACAGAATTTATCAGACTTCCTGGGCCAACTGTGCTGTTGGGGCGTTTAACTCCAGATATATATGCAATTAAAATGAGAAAGTATGTAGGGAGACCCGCACATTGCAAACAATTGAATCTTTCAAAGTTAATGCCAATGCCACATCTTCTGCTCAACATTTTTGACCTGGACAGGCTTGCTAACATGCATATCGGAATTCTCATAACAGATGCATCTAATTCCAAATTACAGAATAATATCCAGATAGTGGATAAATGCTGAAACTTTGGGCATCATTACATGATACCCAGCATTAAATATATTAAGTTTTGGATTATCCTTGCCCAAAAGAACAATCAATATACAATAGTAGTAAGTTTGTTGATGAGTGCTGGACACAACAGTTTGCTTCTAAATGGCCAGGAGCTTCATTGATGTGGACAAGAGAGACATTATGCAAAACATAAGTTTGCCTGTACAAAACTGGCACAGATTTTAACCCCCCCCCCCAAAAAAAAAAAAAAAAAAAAAACCCCACCGTCCTTTTGGTGAAGACAAACACTCCAACTTTCTCCTGTGAGCAAGTGTATTTTTGTAGCTTGCAAGAAGGTACCTAGACTGCACTGCACTAAAGGCCCACCCTTTCTTTTTTCTCTCTTCTTTGAGGGACCAGAGAGGTCTAGATAAGAACAAAAGACAACAATCTTCTTCTAAAGAGTACGAGACAAAGATGGACTGGATTATAAGTTTAACAGCACTCAGTGCAGAACAATGTGAACCAAGATCAAAATTATTATCATTATCATATAATCCAAAAGGGGAAAGAAAAAGTTATCCCTTTCTCAACCCCTTGACGAACCAAAGACTCCAATTCATGTATACATTTGCATAGTTTACTCACAACAATGAAAGCTTTCTTTTATAAATGATCTACCCAAGTTAAAAATCCTTTTACTCAGGTAATCAAGATGCTATAGAAGATGAAAACAATGTAAAGCAATGAGACAACAAATATGACAAGAAAATTTCAAATAAGCGTCACAAATTTACAGCAAACTAACAGGCACTCTACTGTTGCATGACAACAGCACTGCCATATACCCAGGTTTTCAAAATCTCATGTTTCAAGTGTCAAATACACACTGGGCAACGTGCTTGTGATAACAAGACAAATAAAAACCTTATTTCGGTTCATAAAGTACGTATCAACATATGTCTAATATATCTATAGGTATATATTCCATATTGGTCCAAAAAACTTTGTTCTGCTGCTAAATTTTTGGGCATAGATATATACCAATGACAATAAATTCAAAGTTGAAGAAGCATGAGATACAAATTCAATAATGTGACTGAATGGACAGACTTCGAGTTACAATTTTAAGTCATTAAATAACTAACCTGATCTTGATACCCAAAATGAGAAGTGAAGGAATACAAAATGAAGAGAGAGAAAATGATTTTGAGGATGATAAGTCGCCCTAACATCCTTTCAAGAATAATAAATATGAACAAAAACTGTTTAATGATGATTACAAGGACAAAATAGACATTGCAAATAAACAAAAGAAAGGGAATCCCTTTCACACAGGATTACCAAAAGTGTGCATTAACAGCACATTGATACGATGGAAAAAAGGTTAAAACTAGAACCAAATTGAAGCCCTCAGATGCTAACATCTAGAATAAGAACCCAAGAACCATCTTAAAAACAACTATACCACTCCACTCACATTGTGAAATATTCCCCCAAAAAAAAATTCTGTAGAACCCCACCCAGAAACAATTTTCTTTTGGATCAATTAAGTAAATTGGACCCAGTTGAAACACTCCCATGCCTGGCTATGATATTGTTTCAGGACTAAAGAGTCAATTTGTCTCCAAATTCAACTACGATATTCTTAAATATATATTTGTTAAAATTTTATTAAATCATGAAAATAGAAGACCCATCAATGAACTCGTGGCCAAGCAGCATATAACCCATCCTTGGTGATATCCCACTGTTAGCTCAACTGCTCAAGCACTTGCTTGCCCTATGTAATTAAAAAAAAAATAATAATAATAATAACAACAACAAAAAAGGACCCACTATGCTTCCAAATTTCAGAAAAGTTTATTCCCTTGTGTTGATTTTTAACTTTTAGATCACTCATTCAGCCCATTCCCAGCATGGTTCAGAGTTCATGACCTTCTTTGCACCCTTGTTATAAAATGAGCAACGGTGAGCCATATGACAAAAGGTCACCAGCATAAAAGCTTGGCCTAGATGGTAAATCTGGGTTGGGTGTCTTGTGCCAATTTTGGGCAACCCAAAAAAAAGTCGATGGGGCATTTTCAGGGTAAAGCAATCCACTAGACATCAGCAGTTCAACTTCAGACGTAAAAACAAAAGATTCCATGAGGAGCATATCAATCCGCCAGCTAAGATTTATCAAACAGGCCAGCATGCTAATCTTGTGAAGACCCTGCAATTGTATGCATGCCAAAATAATCAATATCCCATGACAGAATAACTACAGAGAGCTTGTGCTCTAAAGAAAAATACTGTGAGAATCAACACTATCTTGAACCAAAAATAGGATGGGAGACACAAAGGTATCTTCCTCAGCCACTATATCTCCAGACCTCAAGAACATGACTTTGCTTGGATCTAACACCCAATGTCCCATATCCTCTTTCCTAGACTAAGGTTTCCAGTCCAATCATTGTGTTAGATAATGAAAGCAAGGCAAACCAAAAAGGGACCTGAAGAGTCACAACAGGTCAGAACATGTCAAAGGCATGTAATGGAAAGAAGATTGAAGGTAGGTATCAGACCAAATTCGGCAGGAGCCAACTCGTCCTCAAAATGAATAAATGGGACAACCAAACATCAGTGTTTGAAATACAGGATGCATAGCTTTAATTAACTAAGATATAGAGAATGATAACTCACCCTTCACTAACCAAATTTAATGCCAGATTCACCAAGACAGCATGTGATAAACCTAACTTGTTAAGAACAGATGTAAGAGGAGCAAATGGATGCTGTACATTAAGCTCAAAGTTAAGAGTAGTCAATATCAACTGCTCAGCCTGAAGCACTCGTTCACGATACTGTTCAAACCAGTCCTGTAAACAACTCAACTCATGTCAATGAATACGAAAAAACATTTGATATAATTGACAATATCAGGCCCCCAACAAAACAGTTTTTTAAAGATAATGTTAGTAAGCCTCCAATAACAAATTACTCCCTCCGTCCCAAATTATAAGACACTTTTAAACAAAATCTTACATACCAACAAATCTCATTAACTACACTTGACAACCTTATATGCTCAAAACAAAAATATAAACTTCCAAAAATACCCATCATTTAATATATTGAAAAGAGAAGGGATAAAAATTAATTATAGAAAAAGAAAGAGTAATATTGAAATTGGTGCATTTAATAAAATCTTAATCTACCCAAAGTGTTTTATATTTTAAGACAAAGAAACTTCTTCAAAAGTGTCATATAATTTAGGAGAAGGGAGTAACTTGCAAGTAGTGCAAATATTTAAGTTTTCATTGAACACATAATATTGTCACTAGCTATCAAGACCTAAGCCATTTACAGTAATAATCCATGAACAAGAGCAACAAGAGCAACTGCAGGATATCAACCAAATATATAGACATATTGACAAACTGCATCTTTAGGCAATAGTTGTCTTCCACCTGCAAATATAGTGTAAAACGAAGTAATAATACTCACAACAGGAAGCCGATAGGACAGCAAAGTAAAATCTTGCTTGTGAAGGATTTCACTGGAGACCCGCAATACATTATTCAATGGGCGCGGTGTTTCCTCAGACTTTGCGGCCAGAAAAAGAGAAGCAGTAGCAATCAACTGCCGGAGAGGAAAGTCAACACTAATAAAAACCCTGCTTGAGTACACAGGCAAAACTTGAAATAACAACTATCCTAATAGCACAAACCACTATACCATTGACAACAGGTATATATTAAAGTTTCAGTACTGGAACATTTCTGAGCAAGACACTTCAAGCAATCACTCAGAGCTAGAGAGAAATTAAAAACTCACAAATCTGTCATGGCAAGCATGTGACCTTCGAACAAAAAATCTGTGGCACAGGACCATAGCTGTTCCAACAGTAGCTTGCGGCCTGCAGAAAAATAGGACATGGTTTTATTCACAAATACCAAGATCATGAACACCATTTTTTTTTTTAAGAGCACAAAATGCAACGGAAACTTTAACCTAAGGATGAGAAAGGGTCAATAATAGAGAATTTCAGATATAGATCTTACAATTCAAGCCGCATTCCAAGATTCTGAAGAAAAGCACAGTAAGAGTAACGCAAGTGTGTCTCGTGAAGTACATCAATACCATCTTTTCTTGATGGAGAACATCTATCAATCTCATCCCTTGACATAAAGATGGGTTCATCATCTTCAAACCTAGAGATATCACGCTTGCAGCAAGCTGATGTAGAGGTATCAGCATTATATCTCATAAGAGGAAGTCGAAAACTATGTGCTGAAGGGGCATTATCATGGGTAGGGGGTGGAAGACAGTATCTCCAGCTTTCATCCCAAGTAGAAACTGAATATTTTCTTCTTTTCAAAGATGATGGGACAGCATCATACTTCATATAGTTAGCATGATCCACGTTGTAAAACTTGGAGCTGCCATCATGCTCCCCAAATTTTGCCGTGGAGTCATTGTCACAATTCTTATGAAAATAATTGTGCCTGCTTCTTTTCCTATTAGTTCTGTTATAGTTATTTCCATCAAATGTGGACCAATAACCACCATGAAACGTACGTCCTTCCCGCTGAAAATTTTGCGCAAAAGACATTATCCCTGCAGAATCATACATGAGTCACCGAAATTAGACATGAAGTTACAACCTCACCACAAAAGCCACGAGAATGACAATCATAATACACACACACACAAACATATACCAATTATCAATGTTGATTAAGTTCTCTTGAATTATTTTTGCATGCCACGATAAGCCATCATCCGTTAACGCTAATCCTAATTTCACCCTTAGCCATCCATCAACTCAGAAGAACGTCTGAGAGGGTTAAGCTCTGGCTATAGCGAACTCGATTCCTTATTCGCACAATTTGTGATGGCTGATACAATAAATTTTTAATCTGAGGACATTTTGTGGACAGGTGATATAATTCAAGGAATATTAACATCAACTCATAAAAGTTCCAGACCTGAGAACCCTGTATCAGTCGTCCCCCAAGTAAAAAGCCATTACAACAAAACAATTTCTATATCAACCACGACATCTACAGCCACTAGACCAAAAAAAGAAAAAAGTATGGTCTTTCAAGCTGGAAGTTTCATCATGCAGATCTCGTCATACGTAAAAATTGCAATTAAGCAAAGGTCGTTAGAGATATTGATGGATAACCTGAGTAGCAGCGAAGCCGATCTGATGAGAGGAGATCAAAGCTGGAGATTGGGATTAGGATGGCAATTAGGGTTTTGAAGGAAAGATGGAGAATAGTACTCTCAGCCTGTAAAGAGGACAAAAACGGCAAAGGGTTTGTCAGGCAAAGTCGTGAAGATTATCCAAAACGGCAAAGAATCGCCCACATACAAAGTTCCTTCCTGGCTGCGTTCGGTGAGATTGGTCCTTTGTAAGGTAAGCCAAGCCGAGCCACGTTCTCACCCGATTTTTCTACATTTACTCTTCAACCTCTTTTTTAACTTTTTTTGTTTAATTTAAAATTTAAAATCATCTTACATTTTGTAAACTCCGTTGAATTTACTATTCTATGTACAGTAAAAGAACTGTTCTTTCTACGGGAATTATTTAGTATTTTATTATACATTTTATAATTATAACATAAAAATCCACAATTATATAATAATATAATTTTCCGCGCTGATTATGAAATGCCAACTCAAGTTTCATTTTATAAGATATTTTTAAAAGAGATTTACTATATTAAATTATAAAATATTTTAATAAAAATAAAATTTTATTAATGATATTTTATTAATATTATTTTTATTATATTCTCTCTTTAATTTTATTTCAATGCAAATTCAAAAAATTTTAGAGCCAAACAAATAAAAAATAAATTTTTCTTTAATCCTCTGCATAGCAGGAAATCTTCTAGTTTATTGTTAAATAATAGTGGTTGATTATTCACCATTAAAGTCTCAATCCTAAATCCATTCTTGTGAGGTTAAATTTAATTAAAATATTTAAATCAATTTTAAATGGGGTTATTAATGAAAAATACTACTTTAACATTTTTAATTGTACATTTCATCAGTCAGGGTGATTTATATTTAAAAAATATAAGGTATTTTTAACTGAATCTCGCCCCAATAAAGTAGTTACCTACTTTCAAATTAATCTTATCTTTTCATATTTATCCCTATTAAATACCTTATAATAAATATAAAGTCATTCATTAATATGGCTATTTTGAAAAAAAAAGTCAAAAATTACACCTTAAAAGACTAAAAATGTCTTATATTTTTTAACATTTAACTATCATATGGCTGTTTGGATAATATTATTTAAATTGTTAATGATTTTATATTTTAAAATAAACATCGATATCCCTAATCATTTGATCAAAAGTAAAAATGAAAGTAAAAGCCTTAAAAAGAAAAAAAGTGCAAGTAAATACTATTATACTATGTGTGGATGCCGATAAAAATTTGTTGATCTCCTCCAAAGGAAGATGTTTTGCACCTAAGGGTGTAAATATTTTATGTTGGGGTGAATTCTAATTTTTAAAGGTTTTTTAAAATATGGCAAATTAATCTACTAGTCCATAAACTATCATCTTTTTTTCTTTTTTCTTTTTGGCTATTGAACTATTCATTAATTAAAACCTGGAACTTCACATAAGCTTATTCAATTATAGGCTGGATAGCTTTGTAAATTCAAAATGATTTAGTCTACTTTGTAAAAGTCACAATATGCACAACAGTAGTTGATACCAACCCTTATTTGTGTTAGAAAAAGAAAATTTACAATGATCCAGTCCTTAGTATCTTGTAAGCTTGTTAATAAGCTGTTGTTTTCTTGTTAAGGTTTGATGGAAACTTTATTATATCTCATACTTATGAGAGCAGAATGTATTGCATCTTACCAAGAAATATACTTAGGAACCAATTGCATTTGAAGGACCATTCTAAATAAAATATTCATAAAACAATATAACCAAATGATTGAATTGCCCCTCCTCTATGAGACGATTTCCGAGGTAAGAAGTGAGTTATGACTTGGACCCTTCATCTCTTCACGTGTGGCTAAGTGTGATTACCACTGTATGACTCTTCCCTCAAAGGACTTTGACTGTGTTATACGACTATGTATTCATGTATGTTGAGGATAGAGTTAGGAATAAGGGCCAGGCCTGAAAACCCTATTTAAATAAGAGTTCGAGCTTTGAAAATTTTTTTTTAAAGTAACCGGGCTTGAGGGCTTGGCCCTGATATGCCCTGTAAAAAGGACTCGGGCCTGGACAAGCCCTCCAAGCTTGGTTAATTTTTTTAAAGTAATATAAAATAATAATGTAAAAGGAAAATATGATTTTTTTATTCAGTCCAAACTTGCCAAGTGCCAGACTGCCAGTAAAGCATGTTTCACACTCTCACTCGATCAGTTGGTCCAAAGTCCAAATTAAATTATCTCAGCCGCGTGCCTCACAGGTCACAGCCTCACTCGGTGTCTCGGTTAGTCTCAGTCCTCAATCCTCACACACACAATGACACAGACACAGGCACACAGCTCTCACAGTTTCACTCGCCAGTCGCCACTCAGTCTCAGCCTCGCACAATGAACCCTAAGACTCCTCACGCTATTGCCTCACACAACACAGCTCTCAGCTCGAAGCTTCTCCCTCAGCCTTAAGCCGATGCTGGATCCCTTGTCCTCGCCCTCACTCCTCTGCCTCACAGAGTCACAATCTGCTCGGATTTCCTTCTCTCCTTCTTCTCCATCACAACTCGTCGGCCATCACAGCTCCCTTAATTGTCAGAATCTCTGTCTCCTTCTTTTTCGTCTTGCTCGTCTCCTTCCTCTCGTCCATACTGTGCTCTCCTTCACTCCTTCAGACCTTCACACCTCACGTCTCTGGCTCTCTGCATTCTGGACATGAATTAGCCAGTAAAATTTTTGAGAGCTTAAGTGATTGGGGCATTGAAAAGAAAATTTTTACAATTACTTTAGATAATGCATCTGCAAATGATTGTATGGCTGAGATCTTAAAAGAGAGATTGATTTTGTAAAATAATTTGATTTGTGATGGGGAATTCTTTCATGTGAGGTGTTGTGCGTATATCTTGAACTTGATAGTTCAAGAAGGTTTGGAAGTGACAAATGTTGCAATAAATAAAATCCGAGACAACATTAAATATGTTAATATGTTTGAGTCCAAGATGAAAATTTTCAAGCAATGTGTTGAGCAAGTTGGTAGTATTAACACCTCAATGGGATTGCGATTAGATATGCCTACTAGATGGAATTCCACTTGTGACATGCTTGAAAGTGGAATTAGATACAAAAGAGCTTTTGTTTGCATGTCTTGTCGTGACACTAATTTTAAGCATTCCTTATCAAATGAAGAGTAGAGGAGAGCAGAGGAAATGTGCATTTTTTTACAACCATTTGCAATGATTACTATTTTGATTTCTGGCTCATCTTATCCAACTTCCAATATGTATTTTGGACAAATAGTAAAAGTTGAGATTTTATTGAATGATGACATTAGCAATCGTGATCCTGTGATTTCTAGTATGGCAACAAGAACGAAGGATAAATTTGACAAGTATTGGAGTGATTATAGTGTGATCCTTTCAATTGAAAGTGTTTTTAATCCACGAGTAAAGCTTGAAGCAATCAAGTATTCTTTCTCTTTGATTGATCCTATGGATTACTACATGAAAGTTAATAATATCAAACAAAAGTTGTATTATATCTTTGATAAATATAAAGAGATGGGTGGATCTTCCATTAATGTCACATCAAGTTCAACTTTAATACAAAGTTAACTAAGCTCAAGCACAAGTGGAAGAATGGTAGAGAAGAAGAAGGAACTAATCATGTCTTGGATTCAACTTTATGGTGTAAGTTATTATTTATCTAATGCACATTATCTCATTACTATTAGTTTATAATCCCTTATTTGATACTTTTTGTTTTTTTAAACATAGGATTTTCTTAATTTCAAGAGTAAGGATGTTTCTTCCATTGGAAAATTTGAACTGGATTATTATCTGGAAGAATGATGGTCACTAATTTCCAGAGTTGGACATGTTGCATTGGTGGAAGACTAATCAACAACGATTTCCCAATCTTTCAAAAATGGCATGTGATATTTTAAGTATTTTGATCACTACGATAGCTAGTGAATCGGCTTTTAATATCGGTTCCCATGTTCTAACAAGGTATCGTTCTAGCCTCCTTTCAGATAATGTGCAAGCATTGATTTGTACTCGAAATTGATTACATGGTTTTGTTCCACCATTAGGTGGTAATTTTTGTTTTGTGAAATGTTGTCTTGTGATATATGTGATTGTGTATGTTTAATAATAACACAATTTTGTTCATTTTTATTGTAGGTGAGGAAGAAGTGGTTGAAGAGTATATTGATATTGAAGCCCCTCCGCCTTCAACAAGTGGACCTACTTCTGAGAGTTTTAATGTTTTATTTGTAGATGATGAGGATGAGGAGGATTTATGTTTTGATTGATGAATATGTATTGTTTGGATTTTTAAATGTGTTGTTTAATTTTTAAAAAGATTGTAAGGACTTTAATTGTTTTTAATTTCAAAAAATTTTAATTGATTTTTGATTTTTGATTTTATTTTTATTTTTTAAATCAGGGCTTTCGGGCCTGGCCCTAAGCCCTAAACATAAGGGCTGGGCTTCAGAAAAGGGGTTGAAAATGAAGAATAGGGCTTAAGGGCCCCTTAAGCGTCGGACCTGCCCATTTTCCCAGCTCTAGTTGAAGGTGATTTACGGCGAGGGAGAGGCAACTTCAAGCAATGTGAGAGGCGATTTCTAACAAATATTTCTTCTCTTCTTCTATAAGATTTGCTTCCTCCAATATTTCCTATTCGTCCAAAAGCTAGACAAATATCCCAAAGCTTGAACCTTTTAGCTTATCTAAGTTTGAAAGGATTATCAAGGAGCCTCAATTGATTCAAAAATCTAAAATAGAGCTTGTAGGTATTTTTCTTAAAATTTCTTATTGTTACAGGTTCATGTGCTTCGATTTGTCTAAACATAAACCTTTCTTCTCTTTTTATAGGGATTGACTTTCGCTTAAGTGCTTTCCTTTCTTGTTTTGTTAGTTAATGGTTGCCTTTTGAATGTGTTAATTAAGTTGAGAAATAATAGAAGTTACCATATAAATCTAGAGTTATAAATCCGCAAGTATGATTCAAAGGTTCAAACTTATCCATCCCAGAACTATATTTTCTAACTAGGGGCTTCTTTAAATGCCAAAATGTAGTGCTGAACTAAACTTTCTGAATTAATTTTGTACTGCACATTTGAATTGTCAAATAATAAGTAAAAAACGGTGGGAAATTAATTTGTAAATCCTAAATGTTGAACACTAAAAGCAATTAGCATCCAAAAATTTGATGAAGAAATTTAT